ATTTCTGAGATTTAAAAGAATCATTCAAGAAGCACTAAAAAGTCATAAAATTAGGGGCATTCTATAATTTATTATGGAATAACTTGACAACCCAGAATTGACATTTTGTAACTGTTACTCTCTCCAGATATTATTTTTTTCTCATAAATATACTTAGGAAATATTTTGTGAATATAATTTAAAAAGACATATGGAGAGAATTACTCATTTGTGTGCTTTCTATATATGGATATTTTGTTGGCAACTTAGGCTTAATTTAATTCTACTAGGTGTCTACTTTACAGAAGTGTAAAACAACATCTTTACCAGGAAGTTTCAATCAACAGCTCTACTTAGCCTTTTGTAATATAAAAACATTACATTCAATGTGGACAAAAACTGTACAATCATATTATAGTCTACTTTCCCATCTGTTACTGAAAATAAAATTATTTTAAGTTTTTGTTGTGTGAGAAGAGTAAGCTAAGTTTTATTAAGCACCTGTGATTTTCCAGGGACTATTTCAAGGGCATGATATGCATTATTTTATTTTTCCTCTTTGACATATCTATGTGGTACATATTATAACTATTTTAAAGATGAGAAGTCTGAGGTTTTGAGTGAAGCATCAAGTGGAGTTTTAAACAGATTTGCAAGCATCAAGTGGAGATTGAAACAGATTTGCAAGGTGACTTTATGCTATTATTTATTCTTAATAACAATCCATTTTAGTTAGAGATTGCTCTTTTCTTGTTAGATATTAAAATACAGATATTTATAGAGGTTACCAAACTTGCAGATGGCAGAACAGTGGAAAGCTAATTCTGTTTATAGCTAAACAGAATGGCTCATTTTCACTCTACTATGATTTAGAATTATTAACTTTATTTCCTTCCTTCATGCATATCTATTTTTTATAAAACTGGTGAATAGGAGAGGTGAACTTACTCCATTATAGACATGTGTGTTTATATGTATGTGTACATGTATTTATTTGTTAAAATAATTGGAGGAATTTAGTTGTCTGAAGTGTAAGTCTCCTGCAATCAAAGGGCATAAACCATATACAGGGAAAATATTTAAGCACTTATGGAAAATAGGGAGTGTGACAATATCACAAATGAGAAACTTAGAAAACATATGGTTTACCATAATTCTGTATAAACTATATGACTATCAGAATCTATAGACTGTCAAAACCTAAGTAATTAGATTGATTCATTATAGATACACATCTAAGGCAGCTAGAGACTAGTCAATATTCTTCACTGAATCAGAGAGCATTTAAGCTCTTTCTAAAAAGCTAAACAGGATCAAGAATGAGAAGAGAGTTTAACATCAGCTTAGTAACTGTATACTACAATTTGTTATAGAAATAACTTGATGTAGGACAGAAGTCGTATTAGAAGTCACGGAATTAATTATGTGAATCTGGGATCAGTGAGAGAGGAAAATCGAGAAGAAAGAAAACTATAATAATCTGTGACTTGAAAAATCCAGGAGAGACAGGTAAAGACAGAAGCCAGTATCACGCCCTAGGAGATTCAGAATCAAGCATGCCAAATTCCTGCTTCACGGTGAGAAGGGCAGTAGATCAGAAATTAAGATTAGATTGTTGGTTTCCCTAAGTACTAGAGACGATGACTCATATAAGTAAGCTAGGAGTCATTAAAGATTTTTTTTAAAATTTAGGGATGTCATCTTTAAAAATAAATTTTCAGGATTTTATTGAAGTTAGTTTATTTTTTAAATTATTTATTTACTAGTTTTCATTCTGTAATTTCAAAATTGCTAGAAGAGAAAATCATGGCAGTGGGCATATGACCATCTCAGAGAAAACGAAAAACATTAATGGTCTCTCCTTTCTTCTGGAGCTATATAATAGGAAATAACTAGTTTCCAGGAATTCGAGGTGGCATACATATAAATTCCTTTCCTGGCACCTCTCAGGTGTAACTAGAGTTTAAAACCCATATGCATAGGCTGAGTAATCCAGCCTGCAAGTGTGTGCGGGTGCACTCTCATAAGAATTATTATAAGGCCATTCAAATCAAATCTTTAAGAAAGCATATTCTTTTCAATTCTTTTTTAGCTCCTCCCTTATTATCTATCTCTGTCTCTGTATCTATCAGTCTCTCTTTCTCTGTATATAAATATATACCGGTTGACTCAATTTTCCTATACTGCAATATAAATACAGTCACATATTTCTTAACAATGGAGGTACATTCTGAGAAATACATCATTAGGTAATTTTATGGTTATGCAAACGTCATTGGTTGGGCAAACAAACTTAGATGGTAGAGGTTACAAAAATGTAGGCTATATGGTATAACTTATTGCTCTTAAGATACAAATCTGTGCAGCATATTAATGTACTGAATATTGTATGCAATTGTAACAAAATTGTGTTTGTGTATCTAAACATAGAAAAGGTACAGTGAAAATACGGTATTATAATCTTTTTTGACCACTGATGTATGTGCAGTCCATGATTGACCAAAACATTGTTATGCAGGGCATGAATATATTTGGGTAAACAATTTCCAGTGTGGACTATAAAACACTGTCTTCAATAGAATTACAGAAAGCCCAAGAACTTAGTGAGTCGATATCAGGAAATCAATAATTCATTGATGAAATAAAAGTCGAATATTAAAATTCCAGAAGAATTGAATGCTGGATGAAAATTAGGTTCTATTTTCAAAATTTTTACTTAAAGAGGCAACACATGAATATTATTATATTGTCATTGAATCACATTTATAGAGAGAGTTTAAACATTTTTGGACTAAGCTTTCTTCTGTAACAATGAATACATAAATTTTGTGGTTGGTTATAATCATTGAAATTTAAATATGTTCATTTAAATACATTTTTCTTGTCAAAAAATCTTGGAAAGAACTCTGTTGTCTAAGCAATCATTCATAAAGTTTTATGTGAACATTTTAGTTGAAATATTCTGAAATATTCAGAAATACACATGATATAAGCCAAGTCTGTTAAAACTGAAATAAACAAATATATGTGTGTATGCATATATATGAAAATAACACACAAATGTACATTTAAGTATACACACATATATATATTCTCATATGTATAATTTCAGAAATTGCATAGATTCCAAAGTGAAAGACTATTATACAATGACATCTTTTCCAAGGGAGGCTATTTTAAAAATAACTGATGCTGGGAAATGTAAGAGAAATTTTAAAAGTGGTCAAGGAGCATAAACAGACATTTTACAAAAGACATACAAATGGACAAGTATATGATGGATATCTACCAAAGGAAAATGAATTATGTAAAAAGATACCTGCTCTCATAGGTTTATCACAGCATTATTCATCATAGCAAAGATATGGGATCACTCTAAGTGTACATCAACAAATGATTGGATAAAGAAAATGTAATACATATATATGCATATCACATTTATATACACATTTCATATACCTTTCACATATTATAGCTATACATTTCTCAAGTTACAGATGTGTTGTTATATTTTCATCCCAAAGTTTTTACCTGTTTATATTTTCATTAACAGGATATAACAGCAGCAAAGTCCCAATCTATATTATTGGTAAAAGATAAAAAGAACTGTGTAAGAAAGAATAGCTTTGACTATCTTATTTACAAAAAATACTATCCTAGAGATTTGATTGGCATTTTCTTGATTATTGGTAACGCTGCAAGTGCTTTCATTGGCCTCTTTGTTTTTTGTATATTTTATTTTATAATGAACTGATTTATGTTTGCCTGTTTATGTATTGAAGTTTTCAGCTCATTTTTAAATAAAAAGCTATATATATAAAACACACACATACATATATGTGTATACATATATACATACATATATTATATATACATATATACATACATAGTTTTATAATATATAAATATATATAGCTTCATATGTATATAGCTTTTATATATAAATATATAGCTATATATGTATATAGATCTTTTATTAAGAAAGTGAGCTGAAAACCTCAATAGGTAAACAGGCAAACATAATCAGTGCATTATAAAATAAAATATACAAAAAACAAAGAAGCCATATATGTATATATGTGTATATATAGAGAGCTCTTTACATATACATACAGCATCTATATATACATTTATAAAGAGTGTATATATAGCTCTTTATATAGATAGATGCAGTATATATATAAAGAGCTATATATATGCATAAAGAATATATATATATACTATATGTACACACACAACAGAATAGTATTCAACTGTTAAACAAAAGAATAAATTCATGTCTTTTGTAGCAATACGGACAGAACTGGATACCATGATCTTAAACAAAACACTCAGAAACCAAGTTCAATATCTCATGCTCTCACTTATAAGTAGAAGCAACATAATGTGTGCACATGGACATAGACTGTGGAATAATAGATATTAAAGACACAAAAGGAGGGTAGGGTGGGAGGGAGGAGGGGCATGACAAATTACTTAATAGGTACATTTTTTGGGGAATGGTTACACTATAAACCCAGATTTCATCACTATACAATATATCAATAACCAAACAGTACTTGTACCCCTCCAATTTATTTTTTTAAAAACACAGGCAACCTTAAAACCTATCTTTTTTGGAATTTATGAAACATAGTGCTGTATCACTTTCTCCCAAGCAAGCTATACAACATTTTACACATCATGCTCTTTGTGACTGTTGTATTTCTGGCAGTGTTTCTAAGGATTCATTGCTCATGGACAACCACCACAGAAATAATTAACTTGTCATATTAATAAAAGGGAGAAAGTGAAGGAATAGGTAGATTTGATAGGTGCCATGTGAAAATTCAGGTCTATTTTGTATTTAAAATAATTGAGGTTCAGATCTTAAAATAAATGTTGACCTAATTGCCCGTTAGTGACGGAAGCATTTTTAACATTCAGGCCTGCCTGACATGAATTTCTGCATTTTATTTTCCCATTTATTATATTATCTTCCACTTTTAGGCCTAAAATGACATAGATTTTTTTTTGTGTGTGAAAAGCCGGCATAAAGCACTTTTATTGCAATAATAAAACTTGAAACTCATATATGGTGCTAGGGGGAGGGGGCAGCTATGATTTCTCTCACCAAATCACTACACAGGACAGCAAAGAGGTGAGAAGGGGCTGAGGGAGAAAAAGCCAGGAAACTTTGAGATTAGCAGAGGGAGCCAAGCATCAAAAAACAGGAGATGCTGAAGCTGCGATGACCAGCATTATTTTCTTAAGAGAACATTCAAGGATTTGTCATGATGGCTGGGCTTTCATTGGGTGTTAAGTCTACAAACAGCACCTTCAATTTAAACTGTCAATTAAAGTTCTCAAGATTTAGCAAGTGGTGGAGCTTGGAAAGTTATGAGATTACAAAATTCCTGAAAGTCCATTAGAATAACCACAGGATGGGGAAAAAAAAAAAAAGCCAGGCCACAAAGAAGGCTTCAGAGGTCCCTGCTGGCTCAGGGACAGATACCTGTAGTGTCCAACATCGCAGTGAAAATGACCTGCCTTCAAAGGCAGAGGGTTTAAGGAGAGGGAGGGGTGGCACTGGTGGAGGCAAAGACTCTCCCCATCCCCACCTCAGTTTTAGGTAGGGCTTTTATTTTAACCCAAGGACATCTCTCAACTTGGAGAATAATTCAGTCCTCAATAGCACCTCAAATCTGCTATGGCTTTGCAGCGCAGCAGCAAGAATGTTTAATATATAATAGATAAAAATTTCATCCAAAAAATTAAAATAAAATATTCTTGAAACGCCCCCCCACCAACACCAATTCCTATTCTAAAGTTAACCTATCACTTGTGCTGTTAATACTTGATCATGTACTTAATTGGAAACCTAGGTCCAAAAGACTGAAACGGAATCTTCACCCCAAAATGAAAACAAAATAAAATGAGTAAATTGAGGTTTACGGCATATAGTTTAGGTAAACACACATACGAGGATAAAAGGGAAGAGGAAATGGAGGTGTCGGAAGCAAAGCTGAGTGACAGAACACATTCAGTCAGGGCAGATGTCTATACAGAGTGTAGTGGAACATCAGGAAAAGCTCCATATGGATTCACATGCACACATCTGGAGGCACCACGATCCCTCCATGGCAGAACCAAGAACAGGGAGCTAAGGGAGGAGGCCATTCCTGTCATTTCAGTTTTAGAAGCTCCACAACAAAGCCAAGAGTGGCATGTGGTGGGATGATGCCTGGGTGCCCAGTGGCACCGTAGGCATAATCTGGAGATATAGTGAGTTTGGCTCTCTGACCCACACTCATCTGGGCAACCCCTTCTTCCCAGCCTCAGATCACCTCCTGCTTGCCTAGCATAAACTTAAAGGGCTTGTTTCTGTCCCGGGAGGAATCAAATTTCTTTCCATCTTCAAGCATCCCGGTGTAGTGCACCACGCAGGTCTGGCCGCGCTTCGGGAAGGTGCGCCCGTCTCCTGGGGAGATGGTTTCCACCTGCACCCCCACGGCGGCGGCAGACGCTGGAGGGGCGGGCAGCGCCACGGGCGGCGTGGACCTACAGCGACCTGGCGGCGGTACCACGGCTCTGCCTAGTCCCTCGGCTAGTCGCCTGCGCACGCGCACGCCCCTTCACGCCACTACATAGATTTTTTTAAAGTTTTATTTCAAAATGGTAAATATTCTTTCCAGGACAAAAGTAAAATAACCAATTCCAATAGAAACTAAACCAATATAATCAGCATGTCTATACATTTTCAAATATGAAGTTTCTATGTATACATTTGTTTAATTTTACTAATTTGGAATCTTTCTATACCTACCCATTTACAACATGCTTCCTCACTTTTGTGAACATTTTTACATACCAATGATATTTTCATGCAATTATTATTTTGATGAACTCATAAACTGATTAACTACAGTTATATCTCACATTATCACATTTTGGTGAATGGACGTCCTATACAACAGTGGTCTCATAACATTACAATGGAGCTGAAAAATTTGTATGACCTAGATATATCATAGCCATTCAGTTACAAATGCCTACATTGTTCAGTACTCTAAAATGTTGTACAGGTTTGTAGGAGCAATAGACTATTTATACCATATAGCCTAGGTGTGTATAGTAAACTATATCATCCAGGTTTGTGTAAGTACTGCTATGTATTCACAATGAAATCACCTAACACATTTCCCAGAACATATCTCTGTTATAAAGCAATGCCTGAGTGATTTATATATTATTGAATATTTGTACAATGAAATATAATATTTATATATTATTGGATACATTTATATATTATTTAACATACTATTAGATTTTTATATTATTGGATATTTATATATTTTAAATATATAATATTTATATATTGTCCTGTTCCTGTTGCCTTTTCAGAGTATTTTACATTAATTACTGACTTTTCTATGAAACAACTTATTACTTGTAGTTGGTATATGTGAATTATTGTTTTAAAGTAGAAACATGTTTGAGTGATATTCTACAATTAACAACTTTAAAAATCTCTTTTCATTTGATGCTGATGCATTAAAATATTCATCTTAATCAAAAGTTCACTATATTGAGCTAAATATCACTATATCTATTGTGATATTTAGGGGAAGAATTTAATCTAATATCACCCTAAACATTATACATGCTTTAGCAACATTTTGTAAATCAGACCACTAATAACTTACATTTTTGTCTGTTTTGGAAATTGCTTCTGTTTGCTTTTGACCAAGCTTGCCTGAGAACGTGCTTCCATTTTTAGTGTTAATCACGTCTAATGTTTGTCTTTTTAGACCTTTGCAAGGAAGAAAAAAAAAAAGAAAGGATATATTTTTGATTCATAAATTCATTGAGTGGATTTTTCTTTTCTTTTTTCCCCACCCTTGCCTTTTTCTTCTCCCCTCCCCTTCCTCCTCCTTTTTTTTTCTTCCTCTCTCTCTCTTATATTTATGGGAAAATATAGTGTAGTAATTAATAGCATAGCCACTAGTGTTAGCCAGCCTGGGGTTGAATCTTACATTTTCTGTCTGCCTGTGTAAATTTTTGCCTCAATATAATTACTATTTTTAAAACTATAAATCAGGATAGTAACAGTATTTGCTTCAGAAAGTACCCAAGATTACATGTTTACTGAGTTTAAACAGATCTTTCTGCCAGTATGTGCACAGCATGCATTACATTATATTAATAATAAAGCAATTAATATTAGCTTTATTTTTTCTTTGTTTTTATAACTTGGATTTCATCTCCCATTTCAGAAAGGTCTAAGACTGATTACTTAATGATTTGTGTACACAATAAAATACACAAGAATATTTTGATGGCAAGGTTTCTTAACATAAATGGTATAAAAATAAGATAAATATAATAGTATATGAACAGTTAACCGGCCTTGACCACTGAGAATACTACCCAACAAATATTGTATTATTATTTTAATTTTTATTTCATTATGATAAAACAAATAGCTATTAAATATATAAATACAAAAATTTAAACAAAGAAGTACAAGAAAATATAGAAAAAAATTTCTTTTAGGATATATAGTGAGAACACAGACACATATTTTGTATCTCAGAATTTGAATTATCATTTAAAAACAACTGGTAAAACAATGTTTCTGTTTTACCATTGACTTTAGGTAACTGGTAGATCTCTTAAAGCTAGTAAAATTCTCTGTGGTAGAGCAATTTGAATCAAAAGAAGAATAAACAGGTGTTCAACAATAAGATTTCCAAGATAGAAAGAAAGAGAGTGTTCCAAGAAAAGGTAAGTAAATGAAATGTTGTTATATTTTATGCTCAGGATAACAATTTGTTGGGTTTATTCTATCTTTTGCATTTGTTTCTTATTTATCATTTTAATTTACAAAACTCTTGTGGTACCAAGTCTGCTTTCCAAGTCATACACACACTAGTGAAATGGAATGACTAGTTTATGTAACTTCCTTTACATTCTATGGCATAAGTACAACCCAAATGTTCTCCCAGGGTGTTGAAAAAGTGCAAGCAATTTTCTGAAGATTTGCACTTTGCTTCATTCCAGGTAGTGAAAAATAGAAAACCTATTTGCAGAGGGATTGAGAGTATCTGAGCTTTTTGGATATTTTCTTTTCTGAGACTTGTTTTAAATTCAGGTCAGAAAAGCTAGTGTAATATTGGAATTGAAAAGAGCAACAGTGTTTTGACATTGTATTTCTTGGCATAAACCTTGAATCATTCACAGTATGAGATGTCATGAAACTCAACTCAACCTAACATAAAATCAAATGGGTTAAAGGAGTTCAAATAGCAAACATTCAGGTGTCTTCACTGTCCAACATCTAGTAATAGGAGGAGGTTGAGACAGAATAATATCACACCATTTTTTATTCAGCACTTATTGTGAACATGCTATGTGCCAAGGGCTGTGTGGACATAAAAATAATACAAACATATCTCTTACTCTTGAAAGGGGAATGAGCTGATAACTAGCATTTATTGAAACATAAAACACTGAACTCTGTATTTTGCATGTATCTCTGTTTAATCTTCACATTAACTTCACGAATATGATATCATTTTAAAGATGTGGAAAGAAGACGCAAAAATGTTCACTAAATTATGTAAGATATTTAACCAGCCATTAGCTGACACAATTTCAAACAAGCATGTCTTAGCCACAAAACCTTTATGCTTTTAATTATATATAATATGTCTCATGAATCACTGAAGGGGACCATTCATGTGAGAAATTAACTCAACCCAGGTGAGAGGGTTCATTACTTTAATCTCAGCTACTCAAGAGGCTGAAGCAGGAGGATCATTTCAGGCCAGAAATTGAGGCCAGCATGGGCAACATAGCAAGACAAAAAAAAAAAAAAATTGAAAACTAAAGAAAAAGCATTTTTTTAAATGTTAACTAGATGTGGTGGTATGTTTCTTGAGCCATAACTACTCAGGAGCATGAGGCAGGAAGCTCACTTGAGCCCCAAAGTTCAACGGTGCAGTGAGCTATGATTGCACTACTGTATTCTAGCCTAGGTGACAGAGGAAGACCTCCCTCAAAAAAATTAATTTATTGTCAAATATACTTTTGCATAACTGTATGAAATTGTGTAGCTGTAAAAAGAAGGTTATGATGTAATTTTGCCATCAGACTGCTTGTTGCTGTTTTTGGTTTGTTTTATTTTTGCTTGTTTGGTATTGATGATGCATGAAGTAATGTGTTCACTGGTGTTTGAAGTATAATCATACCTTTGCCAGATGGAGAACAGTTGAGCAGTATATTCCAGGAATAGGAAACAGTATGTCTAAAGCATGACATATTCAAGGAATTACAACAAGGTTTTTTTACAAAGAGGAGGAAAAAAAGAATGATATAAGGAATATAAATGAAGGTGGGCTGTGTATGTGTGCATTTTTATAATAGAAAATGTTTTTCTATAGAAAATAAGGAAACCAAGATATGATTATAATATGTGGAAAGCATAAACATGTCTGCAATTTATTAATGTTTATTTGTAAATGAACATTTCTTTGAATGTGTATTGTTTCTACTTATTTTTAAATAAACATTTCTTTGAATGTGTATTGTAAATAATTTACATTTATTTCAAAGATACCAGCCTCCATTCTACAGTAGATACCAAGGGGTCCGATCTAATCTCCAGCCCGTTTTGTAGTTGGGGAACTACCTTAATTTTTCAGAGACCTGCTGGGTGATGCCCACCCATCTGAGCCAACAAAATAGGCCAAAGAGTCTCCTTCCCACAGCAGATCTTGAATTGGACCAGTCTCAACTCCAGCCTCTCTTACTGATGTCAGAGTATCATCTTTCAACGCAGAAATCTTGGAGGCACACCTGTTTGGGCTACCTGGATAAGACTCCTGGACTCAAGTCTTTGGCTATAATTTCCAAACAGCCACAGTACCATTCTTGGGTTTTGTTCAAGTTCATCTCAGCCAAAAAGCCATGTCAACCTTCAAGTCTTCATGATACAGTAAACTTTGGCTTAGATCATCCTTTAGTGCTGAGCTGGCTACAGTGGTTAGAGGATCAGGAAATAAAACAGTTAGTCTACTTAGAATTCCTAGTAAACTGTCTGAAGAACAGGTACAAAAGGAAAAGAAAAATAGGCTGAAAGGTAGCATTAAGATGGCAGATAGGAGGCAAGACTAGCTTGCAGTTCCCACTCAGGTAGAGAAGCCTGTGGCGAGCCACACTGTGAACTTTTGCTCCGAAAACTGCACAGGAACATACAAGAAAAGCTGAAAGAATCCACAAACCCTTTGAAGGAACTGGATCACCACTTCAGGCTTCCTGAAATGCTAAAAAACTGTGAGTCTACTTGCTCTCTCAGTAGAGGGGCTGGTGGTCTGGGGCAATTTCTCAGCCCTGGCCATGGGCTGCCTGGAAATAGACTTGGTGCTGTTGCGTGGTAACAGCGAGAACGAGATTGGCCTTAAAGACTGTGGGCGGTGTGGGAGTGGGGTGAGGCCTATAACTGCTGGCTTTCCTGCACTTCCCTGGTGACCTTATGACTTAGCAGAGGCAGCCATAATCTTCCTGGGAACATAACTTCATTGGTCGAGAAACCACACCTCCATCCCCCCATCAGCCACAGAGACCTACACCCAAAGGGAGTCTGAGCTCAGACGCTTTTCTCCCTTCCACAACCTGGTAGTCTTTCTCCACCTACCCTGGTTGCTGAAGAGGAAACTCTATGACTCCCATAGCCTAAGACCTCTGAATACTTAACCAGGTGACCATAGGGCAAGTTTGAATCCTTCCTATAGCACCACAACTGATGCACTCTTTAAAGTGCCACTTCCTGGCTGGAGGCCAACCAACACAAAACCAGTGCACTGAACAAAAATACAACCCAGGACCCTCATAGAGACCATTTCACTCCCCTGCTAGCTCCACTGGAGTAGGTGCTGGTATCCATAGCTAAAAGATATGAAGATAGATCACATCACAGGACTCTGCAGAAACTTTCCAGTACCAACTCAGAGCCAGGTAGGCTCCTCTGGGTGACTGGACCTAGAATAACAAAAACAATAATTGCAGTTCAGGTGTCAGGAAGCCCTATCCCTGGGGGAAGAGGGAGAGCATCACATCCTTTGATAGGGAGCACCCTGTGGGACGAAAGAATCTGAGCAATATCCCTTGTGACCCAAACATTCCCTCTGACATTATCCATCCAAATGAGAAGAAATCAGATAAAGAATTCTGGTAATATGATGGAACAAGTTTCTTTAACACCTTCAAAAGATAACACCAGCTCACTGGCAAATGGATCCAAAACAAGATGAAATCTTCAAATTGCCAGAATAAGAATTCAAAAGGTTGATAATTAAGCTAATCAAGAAGGCACCAGATAAAGGTGAAGTCCAACTTAAAGAAATCAAAAACATAATACAGGATATGAAAGGAAAGGTCTTCAGTGAAATAGACAGTATAAAAAACAATCATAACTTCTGGAAATCAAGGACACACCTATAGAAATGCAAAATGCAAGCCAGACATGGTGGCTCATGCCTACAATCCCAGCACTTTGGGAAGGTGAGGTGGGCAGATCACCTGAGGTCAGAAGTTTGAGACCAGCCTGGCCAAAATAGTGAAAACCCATCTCTATTAAAAATATAAAAATTAGCCGGGTGTTGTGGCAGGTGCCTGTAATTCCAGCTACTCAGAAGGCTGAAGCAAGAGAGTTGCTTGAAGCTGGAAGGCAGAGGTTGCAGTGAGTCAAGATCCTGCCACTGTACTCCAGCC